TCCTGTGATAAACCATAATGGAAAAGAATTGTTTAAATGTCTGTATGTGTGTAACTGAGTCACTTTGCTGCACAGCAGAGATTGGCACAACATTGTAAATCAACTCTACTTCAATTAAAAAATAAATAAATAAAAATTTAAAAAATTAAATCAGAATATATTATATGCAGACCACTGACATTTTTTTAAAGGAATAATAAAAAAGATAAATTTAAGATAGGAAATAAAAGGAGACTATAAAACAAACAAAAGGCAGCATCTATGAAAACAAAAATCAAATGGTAGGATAAAACAAAAAATATCAGTAATCGTAATATATATAAACAGGTAAAATTTGCTTTTAAAAGAAATGAGACACACAGATCTTTGTATCTAAATATCATTTCCCATTCAAAGAAACCAAGAGACTTTGAACAAAGGTCTGATTACAGTTCTGGTGAATGGAAAGTGTTCTGGGCCCTCTTCTTGTACCAGAAAGTCCTGTTGGATCCTTTTCCTTCTGGTCATTGGGTGTGAACAACCACCAGTACCAATTTACTTCTGGACTACCTTTCTAATACATTAATCCATCATCACCAGTTCTAACCAATGCTTCTTATAATTGCTACAATTTCTACTTCTGTTCAGACAATTCTGCCTACTCTCAATTCCCTATATTCACACTTTTCTATATACAAAGACAGAAAAATACATGCTCATACTTTATAAACACATACATGCTCATACTTTATAAATACACAGTTTAGACAACATTGTACTCATATTGCAGACCCCCCCTATTGTGTCAGTTCATTTAGAATCAGATGCTACCAGTGGAGGATAAAGAGAGAGGGAGCAACATGCAGGGGGAGCCTTCAGACCATGATGTAGATCTGACAACTGTGGAAGGGGAAAAGAGAGGAAGGACTCGGTAGGAAGAGCTTCAGATTACGGACCAGTTCTGAGAAAGAGTCAGCCAGGCAGATGGAAAGTCTCTGAGCCAAAGCACCTGATAAAACAGTCCCACACTGAGCTGGAAAGGGTCAGCTTTAGAAAGCCTCTGTGTTCAGTCACTGGCTGGGAGCAGTCCAGAGGAAGAATGGCCCTGGAGTGGATGCCATGGTAGATCTACAGGACAGCAGCTGGAGGCTGGCCAAGTATGCTCTTCCATCAGACTCTCTTGAAGGAGATGTGAGCATCACATCTTTTTTTGTGAATGCCACACCTATTTACACAATTAATATTCACCCATCTTTTACATTAAGGAATCTTTTATATAATTTTATATAATTTATATAATCTCTTTTTAGTTCATGGCATCGTTTCCCAAAAAATATAATTATTATTTTCTTAAGTAAATGAAAAGTTTAGATTACATTTAAAAAAAGGAAGTGCAAATATACACAATGATCTTCCCATTTAAATTACACATACACTTTGGCCAGGAATTTCAAATAGAAAAATACACATACGTACACAAAGATACGTGCAAGTATGTTTTCAGAGAAAAAAAATCAAGATGCAGAACGATATAGATTACCTTATTCGATATATGTAAAAACATTAACCCACACAAACCTGCATGACATAAATAAAAATGAAAACGTCCGAATAGATACATACAAGGTATTTGACAATAGTTGATTTCAGGGAGAAGAGGACTGGGGAGGACAGCATTCAAGATGGGGAGTGCTCTTTACGCCATACACATCTTTGTATTTGAATGTTTTCTACTACTTGTGCAAGTTCTTAAGTAATTTTAATAGGTCTTACCACTCTGAAAACAGCACAGACAATAATATTGCTAAAGAAAATAATGGTTTAACAAAAGACAAACTAGAAAGAAAATTGTGAAAAGAAACCACAAAATAAAATAATGTTAGTAACACCAAATTAACCACATGCCACTTATATGGTTCATATCAAACAAAACAAACAAGAGATGATTAAAATGAAAATATTCCTAAACACAAACAGATAACAACACAGGGCTGGCCATATTAGAGTAGAATTGCAGCATTAAATAGGCCAAACTAGGTCATTCAAAACTGATGAGACAGAATTCATAAGAAAGATAAAACACTGCCAAAGTCATAATAAAGATAAACAGCTTCAACTCACATAAAGTAAAAGCTATTAGTAACATATGGAGAAATGGACAATACACAGGTGTGTTGAAAATCTCAAAAAGTATTTTTTAGATCAAGTGAAAGAACTATGCCACAGAAGAATGGAATAACAGAACAATATAACAGCCCTACCTATTATTAACTGAGCACTTACCATTCAACAGGCAACACACTATATAGTCTCTTATTAAATCTCCAGAACACCCACATTACATACAAAACTCTGAGACTTCAAGAAGTTAAGTTACTTATGAAAACAAAGTTAAGATACTTAAGAAAAACTTATGGTTACCAAAGAGGAAAGTGGGGAGAGATAAATTGGAAATTTGGAATTAACAGATACATACTACTATATATGAAATATTATAGATAAACAACAAGGATCTACTGTATAGCATAGGGGACTATATTCAATATCTTGTAATAACCTAGAATGGAAAAGAATCTGGAAAAGAAAACACATATACATACATACATACATACATATATATATATATATATATATATATATATATGTGTATGTATGTATAACTGAATCACTTTGCTGTACACCTGAAACATGGTAAATCAACTATACTTTAATAAAAAAATAAAAAAATTTAAAAAGAAGAAGTTAAGATACTAATACAAGGGTATCCAGAAAACAAGTGGGATTCAAATCCAAGATTGTCTGATTACAAAGCCTGCACACCACTTAGTGCGGCTACAATATAAAAGTCACTGCATATAATAGCACTGAATTAGTATTGTAGATACTATTGGGATATCTAGTAAACCACAAAGCAAATATCAATAAATTCCAAGAAACTGTTACTCTAAAGAACATATTTTCTTATGTTAATAAGGATAAACAATAAAAATTAAACAAAATAATTTCAACAAGTTAAAAAAACACTTTCCCCCATAAGTTGTGTATCAATAAGATAAAGAAAACTGCAATACAAATTATTTAGAAAATGAATGAACACACCATTAAAAAAATGTATGAAATAAGGTCAAAATACTTATACTTGTTAAAAATACGAAAGGTAAAGAAATTAAATTTTCAACAAGAAATTAGGAAAATGCCCAAAGAGAGATGTCAACCTTCTGTGGAAGCAGGAAACCAATAACCAAAACTTTTTCAAAAAGAGAAGCAACAAAAACTCAGAGGGGCAAAAACTGAATTTATAACTAATCCAAAAGTTTTTTGGTCAAATATGGTAGGTTGGACTCATTTGTTTTTCTGGATGACTGGTCATGATATCTAATAGCTATGGAATCATACACCATAAACCTTGCTAAAAAAATTAAAGAGATGGTTTTACACTAGTGTGGGTATAGTAATTTGACAAGTAGAGAATAAAGCACTTGTAATTGAAAATAAATGAGAAAAGACCAAAAAATAAATAAATACTAAACTAATTTCTAGAAAATTCATTCTAGGGAAGAAAAAAATTCCCCAAATATCATTAGAAATGGGAGAGAAAACAATGCAACTTTAGAAATGGAGATTAAAACTAAAGAGAGAATATATACAAACTCTGCATATAAGCTTATAAATTTCAACTGAATAGATGGCTTTCTGTAAGAATATGTTACCAATTGACTTCAGAAAAAATATTAAACATGAATAACCCAAGAATTAGAAAATAAAAAGTCTTAACTGTCAAAAAATTACCTTCCCAAACAGTTCAAATGTTTCAAGACAGTGAATTCTTCCACATTTTCAAGGTTATTCCTATGCTATTTTTGTTCCAGAATATTAAAAAAGAAGAAATGCTACCCAATTAACTTTATAAAGCAAGAATGACTTTGATAACAGAGTCCAACAAAAAAATACACTAAATACATATTTCACTCATGAGTATATATTTTAAAAATACAATAAAATATTGCCTAACAGAATTCAATACAATATTTAAAAATAATACATCATAATCAAGGAATGTAAAGATGTTTCAATATCAACAATGATGTTGAGGACCATTTCAAACAAGGGCATATATGGACAGAATTTCTTTGATTTAATCTTATCTCTGAATTTATTATGCTATTACCCTGGTATGCTTTCCCCATGATTAACATTTTTGTCTTATTCTTTCCTGATATATGTGTTATCAGTAAGCTATCTATGATCCTATGCAAATAAACTAATTCTAAATACCATTAAAAATGTATGCACCATGATGTTCATCACAGAATTCTTTTAAGAGGAAAATATAAGTAGGAAGAAGAAAAGGGGGGGGGAAGGAGAAAAAAAGAAGAGGAGGAGGAAGAAAAAGAATTTTTAACAATGAAAGAAAATGGATGAGAAAGTGGGCAGTGATTGTCTTGAGGGAGAAAAATAACAGATGATTTTGGTTTTCTCTTCATTTTTCTAATTTTTAAAATAAGCTATATAACATAAAATGAAAGCAAGCAAACACTTTAATGGAAGAAGAAAATAGATTAATAATTGGGTAGTTTTAAACTTTCTTAAACATTAACTAAAAATGCACTTTTAAAAGCAAATGAAAATATCATAAAGATCTTCTAAACAACCCAAGAAGCTTTATATCTTGTCAGTCAAATAAATGATTCATTCAGAAAGAAAAGAGAATATTCTTTTTGACTGGGTAAATTAACATGGATAAGTACAACATGTTTTTTTAGAAATATATGTATATGTGTATGTGCATAAGTGTACATATAGTTAGGGGTTATGTGTGTATATATGTATACACATATAACACATACATATAAAAATTATTTCTTTTATATGTATAATTTCTATAGTGCCATCCAATTATTCAATTATGGCAATCTTTACCGACAACTTACATAACAACTGTCCAGTAAAATTTAATGTCATAGTCAATTATACAGTCTAATTATTAAACAACAATACAGAAAAGTCATTCAGTATTTTACCTCATATTTGGGATATACGGTTTCCTTTATGACAGATACTGGAACGGAGAATTTGGGTGAAGTTAGATTCCAAAACAACTTGGTAAATCCTGGATAAGCAGACACCTTTGAAAATAACATAAAAGGCTATTAGAAACTAACAAATGGTCAATACCCAAGCTCCTATCAAAATTAGTTCTAGCTGCTGAGAAAATGAGGTGATTGGTTCCACAGTGTCTGCAAATCTGGGAAAGACAATTTATCATACCCATCAGATTAGCAAAAATATAGTCAGCAATTTCAAGTGATGCCAAGCATGTGGGAAATTAGTAGAACCACACTGGAGGCAAACTGGCCATTTCTAGTAAAATAGAAAATGTACATGCCACATAAGCCAATAATTTCACTTCCAGCTATATATCCTAAGGAAATTCTTCCACATATTCATGAAGAGATACGTACAAGGATGCTGATACAGCATACGAAATAGCAAAAAACAAAGCCCAATTTAAATGTCAATTAATAGAGAAACAGATGAATAAAATGTGGTGTATTCATATAACTAAACACTGTAAAGCCATTCCAGCACAAAAATTACAAACCATAGATGGATCTTAGAAGCATAGTATTAATAGTAAAATAAGTAACTTTTAGAAAGATACATACAAAATCGTGTCATTTATATAAATGTACCTAGAACACACAGAACTATAGTATTTATTGTTTAGGGTCATAAGTACATCTAATAAAGTATAAAATCATGGACTGAAAAAAACGTAATTGTAACAATAACTGTCCTTGTGTAAAAAGGAAGAGAAATGGAATTAGGAAGAAGTACAAGAGGACTTAATTTGTTTTTAAAATGTCTTTTAAAAAATCTGGAACAAGTATAACAAAATATTTCTTACAAATTTTTGAGAACATGTACCCATGTGTTTGTTAGTTTGGTTTCTGTATTTACTTGTTTCTTTAAACCTTTTCAAATAAAATTTAATCAGGCATAGAAGAATTTTTAGGGAGGTGAAACTATCCTGCATGATACTAGAATTGTGGCTAAATGACATTCAGTTCTCAAAACCATCGAACTTTACAGCACAAAGAGTGACACAATGTATGCAAATTAAAAAAAAACTCATTTAGGAGGTCAAGAGGAAGCCCAGGATAGTAACCTTGGAAATGAGTAGGGTATATAAGACTAAAGGCAAAAGAAACTGTACGTAGCACTACACTTTAGTTGATAAAGTTGTTTCCCACAGGAATACGGGTTAATAATTCTGATACTTCTATACTGGCATTGAACAATTAAGTAAATGGATGGAGGATGGTGGGAGCCAGGTTTGTCACTCACTATAGGGAGTTTAAAGATAAGAAAGGGAGGAGGTTAGAATGATATATGTGGTCATGAATTAGAGTTGTAGACATCAGTATGAACCCATGCTTAGCTTAAGTGAGACAGAGATGGTTACATATAGGACAATCCAAAAACTGTGGAGTGCGGCAAAAGCAGTTCTAAGAGGGAAGTTTATAGCTATACAAGCCTACCTCAAGAAACAAGAAAAATCTCAAATAAACAGTCTAAACTTACACCTAAAGGAACTAGAGAAAGAACAAACAAAACCCAAAGTTAGCAGAAGGAAAGAAAGCATAAAGATCAGAGCAGAAATAAATGAAATAGAAACAAAGAAAACAATAGCAAAGATCAACAAAACTAAAAGCTGGTTCTTTGAGAAGATAACCAAAATTGATAAACCATTAGCCAGACTCATCAAGAAAAAGAGGGAGAGGACTCAAATCAATAAAAGTAGAAACGACAAAGGAGAAGTTACAACAGACACCGCAGAAATACAAAGCATCCTAAGAGACTACTACAAGCAACTCTATGCCAACAAAATGGACAACCTGGAAGAAATGGACAACTTATTAGAAAGGTATAAACTTCCAAGACTGAACGAGGAAAAAATAGAAAATATGAACAGACCAGTCACAAGTAATGAAATTAAAACTGTGATTAAAAATCTTCCAACAAACCAAAGTCCAAGACCAGATGGCTTCACAGGTGAATTCTATCAAACATTTGGAGAAGAGCTAACACCCATCCTTCTCAAACTCTTCTAAAAAATTGCAGAGGAAGGAACACTCTCAAACTCATTCTATGAGGCCACCATCATCATGATACCAAAACCAAACGAATGGGCTTCCCTGGTGGCGCAGTGGTTGAGAGTCCGCCTGCCGATGCAGGGGACGCGGGCGGACCAGATGGCTTCACAGGTGAATTCTATCAAACATTTAGAGAAGAGCTAACACCCATCCTTCTCAAACTCTTCCAAAAAATTGCAGAGGAAGAAACACTCCCAAACTCATTCTATGAGGCCACCATCACCCTGATACCAAAACCAAACGAAGATACTACAAAAAAAGAAAATTACAGACCAATATCACTGATGAAAATAGATGCAAAAATCCTCAACAAAATACTAGCAAACAGAATCCAACAACACATTAAAAGGATCATACACCATGATCAAGTGGGATTTATCCCAGGGATGCAAGGATTCTTCAATATATGCAAATCAATCAATGTGATACACCATATTAAGAAACTGAAGAAAAAAAATCATATGATCATCTCAATAGATGGAGAAAAAGCTTTTGATAAAATTCAACACCCATTTATGATAAAAACTCTCCAGAGAGTGGGCATAGAGGGAACCTACCGCAACATAATAAAGGCCATATATGACAAACCCACAGCAAACATCATTCTCAATGGTGAAAAACTGAAAGCATTTCCTCTAAGATCAGAAACAAGACAAGGATGTCCACTCTCACCACTAGTATTCAACATAGTTTTGGAAGTCCTAGCCACGGCAGTCAGAGAAGAAAAAGAAATAAAAGGAATATAAACTGGAAAAGAAGAAGTAAAACTGTCACTGTTTGCAGATGACATGATACTATACATAGAGAATCCGAAAAATGCCACCAGAAAACTACTAGAGCTAATCAATGAATTTGGTAAAGTTGCAGGATACAAAATTAATGTACAGAGATCTCTTGCATTCCTATACACTAATGATGAAAAATCTGAAAGAGAAATTATGGAAACACTCCCATTTACCATTGCAACAAAAAGAATAAAATACCTAGGAATAAACCTACCTAGGGAGACAAAAGACCTGCATGCAGAAAACTATAAGGCACTGATGAAAGAAATTGAAGATGATACCAAAAGACAGAGAGATATACCATGTTCTTGGATTGGAAGAATCAATATTGTGAAAATGACTATACTACCCAAAGCAATCTACAGATTCAATGCAATCCCTATCAAATTACCAATGGCATTTTTTATGGAACTAGAACAAAATAATCTTAAAATTTGTATGGAGACACAAAAGACCCCAAATAGCCATAGCAGTCTTGAGGGAAAAAAACGGAGCTGGAGGAATCAGACTCCCGGACTGCAGACTATTCTACAAAGCTACAGTAATCAAGACAATATGGTACTGGCACAAAAACAGACACATAGATCAATGGAACAAGATAGAAAGCCCGGAGATAAATCCAGGCACCTATGGTCAACTAATCTATGACAAAGGAGGCAAGGAGAAAAGACAGTCTCTTCAGTAAGTGGTGCTGGGAAAACTGGACAGCTACATGTAAAAGAATGAAATTAGAACAATCCCTAACACCATACACAAAAATAAAACTCAAAATGGATTCGAGACCTAAATGTAAGATGAGAAACTATAAAACTCTTAGAGGAAAACAAAGGAAGAACACTCTTTGACATAAATCACAGCAAGATCTTTTTTGATCCACCTCCTAGAGTTATGGAAATAAAAACAAAAATAAATGGGACCTAATGAAACTTAAAAGTTTTTGCACAGCAAAGGAAACCATAAACAAGATGAAAAGACAACCCTCAGAATGGGAGAAAATATTTGCAAACGAATCAATGGACAAAGGACTCATCTCCAAAATATATAAACAGCTCATGCACCTCAATATTAAAGAAACAAACAACCCAATCCAAAAATGGGCAGAAAACCTAAACAGACATTTCTCCAAAGAAGACATACAGATGGCCTAGAAGCACATGAAAAGCTACTCAACATCACTAATTATTAGAGAAATGCAAATCAAAACTACAATGAGGTATCACCTCACATTAGTTAGAATGGGCATCATCAGAAAATCTACAAACAACAAACGCTGGAGAGGGTGTGGAGAAAAGGGAACCCTATTGCACGGTTGGTGGGAATGTAAACTGATCCAGCCACTATGGAGAACAGTAAGGAGGTTCCTTAAAAAACTAAAAATAGAATTACCATATGATCCAGCAATCCCACTACTGGGCATATAACCAGAGAAAACCATAATTCAAAAAGACACATGCCCCCCAGTGTTCACTGCAGCCCTATTTACAATAGCCAGGTCATGGAAGCAACCTAGATGCCCATCGACAGACGAAGGGATAAAGAAGTTGTGGTACATATATACAATGGAATATTACTCGGCCATAAAAAGGAACAAAACTGAGTCATTTGTTGAGACATGGATGGATCTAGAGACTGTCATACAGAGTGAAGTAAGTCAGAAAGAGAAAAACAAATATCATATATTAACGCATGTATGTGGAACCTAGAAAAATGGTACAGATGAACCGGTTTGCAGGGCAGAAGTTGATACACAGATGTAGAGAACAAATGTATGGGCACCAAGGGGGGAAAGTGGTGAGGGGGTGGGGATGGTGGTGTGCTGAACTGTGCGATTGGGATTGACATGTATACACTGATGTGTATAAAATTGATGACTAATAAGAACCTGCTGCATAAAAAAATAAATAAAATTCAAAACTTAAAAAAAAAGATGGTTACATATAGAAATATTATGTATATTTATTATATTTATTATGTGTATTATAATATGTGTATTTACAGGAAGGAGTTAGTATACAGACATATATTTGTGTGAGGTGAGAAGGCCTAGAAGCAACAAAGCCCCAGCAGCAACAAGCACATCCAATGCTCTGATCTTAGTTTCTAATTACATTCTCCAATAAAGGGAACTGAGGCTCCCTGTAGAAATGGCTGATTCTATGGACTGGGGCAGGAAATATGCAAGAT